AAAAGAACCAAAAAAAGAAGGCAGGAAAAAACAAACGTGTCGGTTCGTCACATGAAGCTCTAACGACAGTGTAAGAGCCAATTAAAGGTTAATTTTATTGGTACTGGTAAAATGATTAGAGGAGAAATATACATGTTTGATGTTAAGAATATAATTTCTAGTTAATTCCAAAATACTGTTTTGTTAAAGGTATAGAATATAGAAGTGCGACATTCTAATGCGCTTTTTAGTATTTTGGGCTTCCGGCACACTGTAATTACGTAGTTGGGGAGTCGGATAAGCTGGAAGCAACAGTTTTTTGACCGAGTCTTGCCATGTAAATGAAAAGTTTCAATAAATATCCTTTTGCAAGAAAAGTACCTGGACTTGCTCGCGTTTCAAATGCATGTTGCCGGACTGACTCCTAAAGGTGGTGCAGAAGACTAGAATAGAGACGGAGTGCCGCCACTACAGACAGCGTCATAAAGAGGGCAACGTTTCCTGAAGCAGATTTCAGTCTTTCTTCGTTCTGTGTTATTATGCTCGCTGTTCTCCGCCCACAGCGCACGGCGGCGATGTCACATCGCTGGACGCCTCATTATCGCTCCTGCAGAGAGACTCTGAGGTGAAGCTGAAGGCTGAGACGGGCGGTGCAGATCAAATGAAGGAGTGAGGCGGACGAACGCCTCATCGATCAGCGGATCGGCCTGGACCAATAAGCAGCTGTCACACAAACGTTCTTTCAGAAGATCGTGATTGGACCAGGAGACTCGACATTTACAGAAAACGAACAACACACCATCGATGCAGCCAATCAGGTCGCAGACACAAACATCTGATATGTAAACGCACACAGGATGTTAACATTAGCGTGTGTTATGAAGGCAGTTTGTAGCATAGACAGGAAGTGAGAGAAAACCATACCCAGCATGCCGGAGGAGGGCGGGTTCTTCTGGATCGGCTCGGCCATGTTGTCCTGTATTCGCTGCCAGATCTGCCACTCAAAGCGAGGATGCAGGATGTAGAAGGGCTGCAGAGGGTGGAGCCTCCTGTACCTCTGGTACTGGGCGAAGATGGGGTAATCGGTCCTGTTGAACCACTGCAGGGGGGAGGGGGGGGCATACAGGTATGAGATTTAGCCGACACCTCAAATACATCAGTATCAGCACCAATCCTGCTGCTTCAGTCTTTGTTTCACTGATTTCCTTTGAATAAGTGGCTGAGTCATCAGGGAGACGCTCTGTGCAGGCTGCAGAAACAGGATGTTAACCAGTTAGTGACCGAAGGATGTTTTAGAACAGAAAGTGAGCGACCATGACTGAAAACAGGGGAACAAAGACGTGAGAGGAACCAATAAACTCCAGAAACACAAACGTCACAAAAATACTGAAAACAGCAGCTGAAATAAAGCAGAAACTTTAAAAGCTCCGACCCTGAGAATCTCACTGGGATCATGACGTTTCTACCACATAAAGGCTGCAGAGATAATGTAGGGGGCGGCGGCTTCGGAGAGGAAAAGAAGGGCCCCCCCGCTGTTTGGGGTGTCCTTCATGTGCAAATCTTTCAGTACCACTGCTGGACTGAGGCCTAAATGTCAGAGTTGTCCTTTATGCAGCTTCCATTTAAAGGGACAACAGACAAGATGCATTGAGAGCAGACCAACTGGGCTGCATAAAGGACCGGCACAAGATAAATGACGTCTTTTGTCCGCTGGGTTTTAATCGTGCCAGGTTACTCGAGTGGAGTCCAAGAATAAAAACAAAGAGCAGAAGAAATCCTCTGCAGTCGTAGACGCGTCCTCTCAGGATAAACACATGAATTATGCATCAAACGGCTTCTGGAGCTGGAAAACCAGCAGTTGTTCCTGCTGGTAACTGGATTTACTGACGACTCGTTCAGTTTCCCCGCAGCGCAGAGTCAGAACGGCTCCACG